GATTTATACATCAATCATTGTACATTTGTTGTGTATGTCTGCCGTCTTGAGCTGTAACCTGCTCAGAAATACCTAGGCTTGGGGCCAAAGTTGAAAATGCAGCAGCTGTTGTCCCATTTCATGCCTCAGTATCTCCATTTCTTTCAAGCTGGAGACTTGATTGTGTGGGAGGTAACGTGTTCAGAGGGCATCTTGCCTCTGAAATACTGAGTCACTTGTCCTCGTTGACGTAAAGAGTCATACTCACTTGGGTTCTGCTATGAGTGGAATTTATTAGCCCATGCAGTTAGATTTACATAGATTAAGATATGTAGTTAAATTTCATGCAGCGGCTGATGCAGGTCAAGCACAGCACTAGCAAAGTGCAAAAACGGGTTTCCAAGTAGATTACTGTAAAGCACCGCTGACCTTGAACAATACTAAGTGTTGATAATTGCGTGCTGTCAAAAACCATTAGCAAATTTTGTCAAAGGGCAGACAGACTATGATGGAGGGAATGTGAGTTGTCTCTAAGGAAAGTTCTGAAAAAGATGATGAATCCTAAGTGACTTCTATTAATATGCCTCAGGCAAAAAGTTGGGACAGAAACCAGACACATAATTAAGCCAGTATCTCCCCACAAGCACTACAACAGTGTGGCGAGAGAGCCAAGAAGCAAGCTAACCACAGAGATGCCCCTCTATCCACAACAAAGACTGGCACATGTACACAAACAGTCTGACACTATCACAACTGTGATTGCTTGCTGATTCGACTTTTTCTTCTAGCATACTTGTAGTGCAAGAGCTAGAAACTCATGGAAAATTAGTCCAAAAATAACATTGGATATGCAAAACAGAACAAAAGAATAGTATTTACAGAAGCAGCGGGAACAGTTTCATATCTAAATAGGGAGCGCTCTTACACAGTACACATAAACGTTATACTGGGAATTAATATGCTGAGCATCCTGTTACATGTACAGATGAGGTAATGTTTAATTTTCCTTTCAACTAATGAGCAACAAAATCTCTTTATAATCATACTATTACTACTAATACTAAAAGTCAGTGAGACAAGGCAAACGAACAGAAATCCCTGCTTAGTGGAAGGTCAGCAGTTAAGAAGATTACATTGTGCCTATAATTTAGTTCTTGCAGCTACTTTGACAATAAGGATCATAGCATCAGTCAAGTGATTGCTTTAGGTTTGAAATATATGATTTATATAATGTGGTGGGATTAAAAGTATACTTTTTTAGTTTGCTTTTCAGTGTTCCTTGCAGCTACTCTGCTTATTAGCTGCTTTGCAAATAGTGAGTTTAGTTACAAGATGAGAGAGCAGTGACCAACTGACATTTTGTCTTCTAGGCCTTAAATATTATTTCCTAGTAATATGCAACATTTTGCATGTTTTTAGTAGTTTTATTTTTGATACTTTTGTAACAACTACAATTCTGCAATGGACTCATCCACGTACCGAATCTTCTAAACCGAAATCAAGAGGCTTCACTATCAACATAGGATTACACTGCCACCTTGTGGTAATGTGTGTTATTGCATCAATCTCAGTTTTCCTTTTTTTTTAGTTGCATTTCTTTAAACGTGACAATGACAAAACCGTTGAATCTCCCGTGATCACTTTTTTTTCCTACAGCATTTGTTCTTCAGTAAAATCACTAGAATATTAATCGAATTCAAAGGTGGAAAACATTATACATAATACATGACAGAACTTTAACTCAACCCACTTTAGAGTAGTCCACTCGCACCAAGAGCTTACTTCATTATTTGTACCTTCAGACTTCAAAGATGTGTCTTGCATTTTTAAACTGGACTCACTGAATGATTCAATAAAGAGACAAAGAGGATGTAAAATTCACTGCCATGCAGCTTTTTGAAAGAAGAACTCCAGTTTAGCACTTTCATTACTGCTATTATTTTCTATTATTTGACTAATTGTAGAAAAATACCTTATTATATCATGACCAAATACATTATGTAGTCATATTTTATACATAGGAGCCGTTTTATTCACTACTACTCTCTAATATCGTACATTAACGTTTGCAGCTGATTGTGATTATGTGAAAAAAGGAGAATTTCTTAATTCAGTGTCAACCGAGTATATATGACACCTGTATTAATCGACACATTTTACTTTATCGCATATTACCAGGAAGACTTTTTTTTTGCATATTTCTAAAAATGAGCACAAACATCAGGGAAACGCTTTGAAGTAACTCTACTTCTTTATTTCATACTTCATGTCAAGATATGATTTCCATATGAAGTTATGTCTCATAACAAAAAAAAAAACATGTTCAAAGAATGAAGAGGAAAAATCGTGGCTCACAAAATAAAGGCATTCTCTCATAATATTCTTTACAAAGTCATCTTACAACAAATGGAAACAAGCAAGTTTCAGTTGTAACAGCAGAGTACCATAAATCAAATTTCCACACTAAACATCTGACTTTCACTGAACCGTCAAGTTATACAAGGTTTCATTGTTACAAAAGAACAAGAACGGTCTGTACATACGAATACAGTTAAGCTCCTGAGATTCTCTGTGGGACAGAGTCAGCGCTCTGCACCTTCACCACGGCGTTGTCAGCATCAGTGAAACTTTCAGCTGAAGGGAAACGGATTTCGTTTTCATAGCTTAATACCTGTATTTGTTGGAAACGGTGCTGGAAAGCATGCTACTCCTGTCCCCTGATGCAAATA